CACCTCCCCCCACCCCACCTTGGTCCCAGCCTCCGGCTCTCTCGGGTCCACAAACCCCGTGGGGTGCACCTGCACGTCCTCCAGCCCCACCAGCGCCGCCCCCGCAGCGGCGGCCAGTGACAGACTCTCCCCGCGGGCCCAGGGCCCGTTGGTGGTGGCGAGGTCGGCAGCCTCAGGAGCCACTGACTGGGAGAGGACAGGGGGAGGTGGTGAGAGGGAGGGAGGTAAGACGAACCACTGGCGAATGGAACAGATACCAAAGATAGACAGGGGAAGATAAAGGGGAGGGGAGGGGGAGAGGCAGGGGAGGGGAGGGGAAAGACGAACCACGAACGAGTGGAGGTGCTGCCAGGGCAAGAGTGTACCAGAGAGGGGGAGGGGGAGAGAGGGGGATCGAGGTAAAGTGTCCGGAATTTCAGAGATGAGGTGTGGCGTCTGGGGTATGCGGGGGCTTATCTTCCATCCGTACACTTCCCCCTCCCAGCCCACCCCTCACCCTAATCAGTTCCTTGTTGGCAGCGAACCCCCCCGTCGCCAGTACCAGTGCCCCACATGCCACCACCACCACATGAGTGGAGGTGGAGGTGGAGGTGGGCCTTATTGGGGGGGAAGAGAGGGTGGAGTTATCCCCTGATGTCGACCCCCCGCCACTGCTGATCACACGGCCATCCGGGCCTCCTGCTGCAACCAGCTCCACCGCTGTTACCGCCACCGAGTCGGCTGAGATGGTGGTTGCGGTTAATCCCCCGTTGGCAGTTGTTTCAGTTGTTGTGATTATACGGTGCAGTGCATGACCCTCCAGGACCTGAATGGGGTTGGATGAGGGGGTAGGGTGGAAATCACAACCATGATGATGATGGTGATGATGACGATAATGGTAATGATGATGATTGTGATGATGATGTTAATGGTGTTGTGGCCAAAGCAGCCACACAGCTGCCCCAGGTCATTCGGGAAGTGCGTCACAACGGTCGCAACAGCCGCTGAGGTGTGTGGCACCCCCCCCGCCGATCTCACTTAGCCCGGCTTGCAGCCTTCTGCACAGGTGCTTTCCGAGGCAGACCCCTGACCTTCAACCCCAACATTGACCAGGAGCATGAGGTTATGGCTACCTGCTGAGGTATGGAGGTATAATCACAGTCGTCGGACTTAGGGTTTGCACTCTGGATCGGTGGTGATTGCTTAACCCTCTGTTCTATGGATTTTCGGGTGACTGGACGGCAGCATCAAACCGCCTCACAGGACTATCAGTTCGCGGCAAAAGTAAAAGTAATTATCAAATACGATTGTCCTTGGGGTCCCCGGTTTTAATGGACCCGCGCATTCATGTGGAACTTGTAAATCTTAGCCAGCGGCTGTGAGACCACCCAGGCGTGAGGGAGGGAGGGAGGGAGGGAGGGAGGGAGGGAGGGGGGCGCACTCGGCGGGGCAGACGGAAGTGGAGCCACACACCCGCCCCTGCGCAGCTGCTGTGTTTCAGCCCGGTCAGGGCCCTGCGCGGTGGTAGTCGTCCCTTCTCAGGACGAGCTTTGCCCACACAATGTAACACCCGCCCCGTCAACAGCCAAAACAGTCACCAATATCTTTGTCCTCTGCATGTGGGAGGGGTCATCACCATATGCGACGTGGGAGCAAAACGTCAACCGTGCGGTTTGAGGGGGGGAGGGGATCCCCGCCCACCGCCCAACCGCCCGCCCAGCCAGTGCTAACGGTCCGCAGGCCCCCCCTACGGCCTGATCCCCACCCCACACCTCCCAACCCCCAACCCCGCTTACTCGTATCCTCGGATGCTTCCCGACCGCCTCGATGAGTGAGGACATGATCACCCAGCCCACGTTGGCGCCCCCGGACACGGTGCGGGTCCTGTGTTTGTGTGCATGCATGTGTGTATGTGTGTATGTATGCATGTATGTAGGGGGAGGTGGGGGGTGGAGTGCGGGGATGGAGTTAGGTTGATGGAGAAAAGGGTAGAGACGACGTGTGTAACGGGGGGGAGAAAATGTGACGAGGTAAATGCACCTAAGACAGCCTGTCACATCACGTCATGCCACGCCATGGTGGGGTGGGGGCCACTGTCTGGTCTTTAAAGTACGCAACCACCAACTACAACCATCCAACTAACCAACCGACTCATCCAGAGCTCCTCCGCCCATTGAATCGTTGGCCTTTATTTCACCCTGCCCCCGGCGCTTCCCCCCCCCCTCGGGGTGGGAATCCCCACCCGGCTACGAAACCCCGTCTCAACCCGTCACTTGCCACACATCACTCCCGTCCCAACCCACCAGCTAACCCACCAGCTCCCTCCCCCTCTCCCCCCACCTGGCTACCGAGTGGCCCCCCAGGCGGGTGACCCCCCCCAGAGAGGTCACACCGTGGGCGCTCAGGAAGCCCAGGGCGGCAGGGCTGCTGAGCTGTGGTGGAGGGCAGGGGGGAGGGGAATGGGAGGGGGGAGGGGAAGGAGCTTGACGGAAGGACTGTAAGATGTGTGGGGGCTTTGGGGGGGTTCGGGTAGGAATCCCTTAGGGACCCCACTTCAGGTTGATATCGCTCTCCTCCTCCCCCTCGCCTTCCCCCTGCTCTGCCGCGCATCCAGCGGGCCCTTCCCTTATCACCGTAACCCCTCTCCCCCTCTTTCCCCCCTTCCCCCTCTCCTCACCACCAGCTCCTCCACCAGCTCAGGCCTGCTGGCCCCGCCCCCCGACACCTCCACATCCCGCACAAACACATCAGGCCTGTCCCCCCCCTCCGGGTGGAGCGCATTGATACCGGAGGAGGCCTTCGCGCTGTTGCCGCCCAGCTTGGGCATCTTCTCAACCAGCAACACGTCAACCGAATAGGAGGGAGTCGACACGGCGGCCGAAAGGGCGGCGGCGGCGGAGGCGCCGCACAGTACGGGAAGGCAGGAGGAGGAGGTATTGGCGGGTGTAGCGGACACAGCTCCACCGCCGCTGGCGGCGCTGGCGGCGGAGGCCGCTGCCGCCTCCTCCAGGCACTCTGCGGCCTGCAGCGCAGCCACAAGTCCCGCCAGGCCGCCACCGACCACTACTATTTGAGCAGAAGGGGGGACAGCATGTAGCTGGTGTTGGTGCTGCTGCTGCTGTTGCTGCTGCTGTTGGGTCGCAGCTGATGATGTCATGATGTTGGCGCTACTGATGACGTTATCGCTGGATCCACCGCGAAAGCTGCCTCGCCCAGTTGTGCGTTGATTATGATGCTGTCGCTGATGCTGCTGTTGTTTCTGCTGCTGGAGCTGCTGCTGGGCCTGTTTCACCAAATAGGACCCGGTAGCAATTGACTGCGAACCCGTAGTTGACTTGGCGGGAGATGCGGAGCTACGACTATTACTTCCGGGTTGCGATAGGTCGAAGGAGAAACCTACATCGAGAGAACCGCTGTTTCCGCGGGTCTGGGTGTGGGTAGCAGAATGTGCATGCGCACTATTTTCCTGCGCCTGTTGAGCCTGAGCCTGTGCGGTCACGCCGAGGAGAGTACTGGGTGGAAGCCACGTCCAGAGGGCGATGACGCACCCGAAGCCTAGGAAGGATGCGGCCAACACAAACAGCCAGGAACGGACGCGATGCGCGCTGGATGTTGCACGAAATCCCGAATTGCCGCGGACTTGTTGCCTGTTCATAAACTGTTCGACACCAATGGCGATACCCTTATTCTGTTGCGTGCTGGAGACTCGCCGCATGTATGCCCAGGGTCGTACCGGAGGTGCTTCCGGAGAAAACGATACGTCTGAGTCTGAGGGCAATTATCAATTCATTATCTTTATCTATTACAGTAATTGATGACTCGAAGTCAAAAAACAGATTCCAAATTAATGCGGCGTTCGTCGTCCCGATTTTTCCATGAATGGACGATGAGGTGCGCAAGGAAACAGAGGAGACTTTAGGAGGTAAGCGACTGGCAAATGTTATCCTTGCATATGCATAAAAGAAAACAAATAGACAAATTTGTAAACAATCCAACATAGTCATTCGCGGCGTTATTACTGTAATACGTCTTAAAATTTACATCTTACGTATCCCGAAGCTCGGCGTAAAGCAAAAACAAGTACTATAATTCATAAATGATTTATTTATATCTCTACGGGTAGGCATACTTGCCGAACATAGGAAACACTTACCGCGACGCTGGACTCTTGACGTCCTTGACATTCACCAAGCCTGCCGCGCGACCAGCATAAATACACTTACTCGAAGCTTTCTTCAGCTTATGCATTCCTCAAAAGAAAGCAAAATATTTCTCAAAATCTTGTCTCGGCCCCGCAGAACTCGCAGAGTCTCCCATGTACTCCTCCCCGCATCCATGTCTGCCCTCCACGGGAAACGTTCGCCCATACCGATGAGAACACGTTCATAGCTAATGAATGTAGTCCTTCGCCCAACCCTCGATTTCCCAAAAACATTGCCGTACAAACCGCTGTCACAACCGGTGGCAAATCTGCCATGTTTATTATACTGTGCTTTACGTAACTCTCTTCTGCCGTTCCATATGTCACGTTAACCTGCTGCTGCGCTGCCGCATCCGGCCTTCAACTTTAAGGCTGAACTTGAGCTTGTGTCAAAAGCCACAAAATATTTTTTTAAGCAATAGATCACTGAGCCATGGCGTGACACTGCGTAGCAGTTTTTATGCTCGACGTGCAAATAGCATCACACGAAGGCACGGACGCAGGGCTCCTCCACTTGACAATACGATATGGCGGCACCGCTTCTCGACCCTCTGGTTAGCAAGATCCATCAAACCACGACGACTCTTAGCCGTGCGACGGGCATTTTGCGCAGCGCATTCCCCGGAGAGCATTTCGCCGACAAGGGCCTCGCAGTCCAGCTCCCCCGCAGCGATGTGCCAACCTACATCCTGCCGAACCAGAATCCACAGCCATGGGAGCTGATGCCCATGAAAGCTGCTGCGATGGCACAATACCCCAACTTCTTCAACTACAGCTGCGTCTTTTTCGGCTCGCTCAAACGCGATGTCCTCAACGGCTTGCCCTTCTGCCTGCTGCGCCCCACCCGCCTGTCCATCGACCTCTCCAAGGTTGTCCGCAATCTCGGCATCGTCGACGGCTTCGAACTGGTCCAGCGTCGCGACCGGCTACGTCCGTACGACTTTGTCTGGACACCGGAACAGCCCGAACCAGAGGACATGTACGACGTGGCTCTCTTCCCCCATCGCCGCATCCGCCTGCACCTCCGTACGGACATGTTCAGCCTGCGCCCCCATCCCGGCTCCCAACGGGGATCTGGGTCACCCGCGCAGATGCCGTTGTCAGCGCAGCTAGCCCCTGCGGCGGGTCTGCTGCCGTTCTCCACCAAGAATATCAGCAAGGCCTCCCAGCCGGTGCTGATGTATCCGCGGCAGATGGAGGCGGCACGGCAGCGGTTGCCCGCCGGCATCCTGATATGCTACCACCACGAGCTGGGCCTTATCACAGACGCCGTGGCGGAGCTGTACGACGTGCCGGCGTTGGTAGCGGCGCACGTGGCGTTGCCCATGTCCCACGTGGCCCAGATCCGAGGCGCCCTACGGCTGAAGGCGAAGGCGGAGGCGGGGACACCGCTGCGCCACGTCACACCCCTAAAGGTGAGGTGAGGGTGGGGTGCGGGACGCTCAGGGGGGTAAGGTAAGTAAGGACAAAGACAGCGTACGCAGACGCGACCTGAACTCGAACCCAGCGGCTGCCATCCTGCCCACCACACAGCCCCCTCCCCCCTGGAGAGCAACTCCGCCGCAACTCAGCGAGGCCCCACGTACGGTGGAATACCACACGGTACGGATGCAGCCCGCCACAGCTCCTGCGGATGCAAAAGCCCCCGGCGAGCGACCTAAAGACGCAACGCACGTACACACAGACATGCTCCTTTCTACCATACGTACATACATACATACATACATACATACATACATACATACATACATACATACATACATACATACATACATACATAATACATACATACATACATACATACATACATACATACATACATACATAATACATACATACATACATACAAGCAAGCATTATACACATTATACAGAGTTATAAGCGATATTCCCTCGGATACGCAACTGTCCGTCGGCAAACGCACATGAAGTACTTGGGGGCGCAAGTTCGTATTCTCAGAGCTCAGATGCAGTGATGGGGTAGAAGGGAGAGGGTAGAATGGCCGGGGGAGGGACGTGGCACCCGCAGACACGGGAGAGATAAAAGGAAAGCGCTCAAGTGTGGGGCAAAGCAGGGCAGGGCAAAGCAGGGCAGGGCGCCATCACGGGATGGGTGCTCGGGACTACATCGCGCGTCCCATCACAACCAGCCCCCACGCGCCACGCCTGACACCTGCCAGCTATCACAATTGGACGCCATAACATCCCGCCCATTTCGTCATCCCATCTCACACATCTCAACACCAGCATGTGCCTTGCCCCCACAGGGGCCCCTGCCGCCGCCGCAGTGATGGGGGGGGCGATGATCGGTACTTTAGCACGTGTGTGGCTGGGCCTGAGGTTAAGCTCGGTGTGGGGCGAGGGGACACGACTCCCGCACTTCCATCGCCAGTGTATCGTCCCCCAACATCATTTCCTGTGCCGTCACTTCCTTTCCCCGCCTTCTACCCCATATCTCCAGTCTTGGAACATGGTGGAGCTGATTCGACAGCGAGTGGCGGAACGACAAGCAGCACTGGCGGCCGCCACCTCCCCTTCCACCTTGCCTGGGGTTTCGGAGGGTGAGGGATGGGTGGGGAGCTCTCCGGCGGCGGCGAGACAGGAGCTTTTGGAGGCCGCCCGGGTGCAGCAGGAAGAGGTAGGGATGGGGGTGGGGGTGTAACGCAGCCGTTAGGACGAGGAGAGTAATCAGGACCACGGGAGGAGGAGGAGGAGGAGGAGGAGGAGAGCATATGGTGGTTAGGTTGGAAATCAATGTGCGCACGTGCGCCACAGACACGTAAGCAGGTGGTTTCGTGTATTCACTGTTATCCGTGTGTCCATATGTGCATTGCGTAATGCGTTGCGGCCCTCAATCGTTGCTGCCCTCAACCGGCCCCCCTCCACCTCACCACCCCTCACTAAGATCCACCCTCACAACCTTGGACAGTGAAACCGCATCTGGGCAGGTCGCGGGCTCTGCCTCTGAGAGCTCTGAAAGTCTGTGGCCGTTTCCCCCTCCCCCCGCTGCATCCTCCCTTTACCCGTTAGTTGTTTTAGGGTTTTAGGGTTCCTCCACTCACCGCCACATCCGCCCCTCCCGTACCCCCAGGCCCGTAAGCAGCTAAGTGCCGCTCTCGACGCGGCCATAGAGATGGAGGACGGGTTACTTGCCTGGCAGCTGATCCGGAGCGGGACGTTGGGGGGACCTCGAGGAGCAGCTGCGAGGCCGGGGGGGCCCGCACCGCCGTCCTCGTCGCAGTCGGCGGCGGCCGGAGAGGAACCCGTGGGGCGTCAGGCTGCACGGGAGCAGGGCCACCATTACCAGCAGCAGCCGCACCAGCAGCAGCAGCGGCGGCGGCCGCCCCAGGAGCAGCGGCAGGGGGGCCCATGGCAGCAGCGGCCGCAGGGACAGCGGCAGGAGGGGAGACCGCGGGAGAGGCAATGAGTGGCTGCTTGCGTTGGCCGAGTGCCGAATGTTTGTCCGATGATGCGCTCCCCACCCCACCCCCGGTGCGTCCTACTCCTCCACGGGGGCTTCCCCAGTTGACCTGCTGGTGGTGGTGCTGGTGGTGGTGGTGGTGGTGGTAGTGGTGGCGTGTACGGTAGAGGACGGTGAACGTGCTGGTGGAGGTGATGGAGGTGGAGGTTGCACGTCAGTGATACAGCAGACTGGGATAAGGACGGTGGAGGAGCCCTGGCTGGCTGGCTGGCTGGCTGGCTGGCTGGGGGCCCTGTGCTGCCTCCTTCTAGGCGGATGGATGCCATGGTGCGGGCGTCTCTGTTTGGTGGTCTTAGCTGGGGGGGGGCTTACGGCTTTCCGAGAGAGGAGGACTTGGAGGGGGAAGGCGGCCAGTCAGGACTCGGGAGCCTGCAGTACTGGTTGCTGCTCCGCTGCCTGCTTGGATGCCGCATGAACCCCGAATGCCCGGGTGAGGTGAAAGGCTTCCAGTTGGGGAGTTGGGAGCTTTGCGGGAGGGGGGAGCGAAAGATTGCGTGAAGGATATATCTATAACGTTTAACGCAACATTTATATGCGCGCAAAACGCTCCGAAACCTGCCGGGACTTTTTCCTTTCTGCACTTTTCCTTTGCCAACGGCTTTCGCTCCCGAGGGTGGCAGATGTTTTTAAAGTCTGGGAGCTAATAGGAAATAGGGAACGGATGAGCTGTAATGCAGCTGGATGGATCTGGGGGGGTTATATGACGCCAAGACAAGAAGGGAAACCCAAGTGTCGGCGTCCAAAAGTTCCAAACTGCTGGAGCTGGGGTGCGAGGGCGCCTGTGCGTGTGTGTTCGTGCTGGGAGGCTCATCTTATCACACACACGCACACAGGTGGCAAAGGGTCCGGCAGTTCTCAATAGGAAGGCCACTCAGCCAGCTGACGAGTGAGACGAGGGGCTCCTCTTCGCCTTTCTGGCCCCGACTGCCCCCCGCTCCACACACTCAACTAGGGCACAGTCACGCATAGAGGCATCCGCTCTGATTATCAGACCCCACATAGCACATGAGTATCACCTTCACGGGCTTCTGGGTGTATTGCTGTATTGCTGCTCAAGGTGCGCGTTCTCTTGTTAAGGATCCCAGTAGTGCAGTGTACGGCAGTCCGTTGTGGCCCATGATGGCTGGGGTATTTAATCTCTCGGGGTCTATCTGGGGCTCTCGCTGTGATAGAAGCGATTACGATTACTGCATTGACAAGTAAAACCAGGCGCCACTGGTCGTTACACCGAGACAGCAGTAACCCCCGGGGCCACTCCCCAGGGAAGGCAGAGGGGGACCCGTCACAAGGCGCACGCAGCCGTACGGCACTTCATTTGACCTGTACGAGATGTACGGCGCCAATGAGCTTTTTCAACCCAATTCGACGCGGGCACTAGACCGAGCGGGCCGAGGGTTGCAGCATTGCGGCTGAGACGCCCTCCCCAGCCCACCCCAGACCCCAGACACACAGGCACACCGGTGCTTTCTCCAAGCACAGCCCTAAAACACGGGCGGCACGCAGCGGCCAGTTACCATGTGCGCTATACCCCTTCAGCTACCGCCGCCATCAGCCAGCACGACCTACTACGGCCTTCGTACAAAGCTTAATTAGAGGCCAATTTTGAACCTGTCATCGCGCCAATATCCTAATTTGTCGCAAAAGCGCCAAATAATGAATTGGGCCTGAAATATAAAGAACATATGTAATTATAAGATTCCGACAATCGGACACTAGGTACGGATCACGTACAGGTACGGGAAACAGTCATGCATCATCTCCCCCTAGACGGTGACAAGGGGGACTTAAAAAATCGTCTAAGAGGGGGGGAGTGTCGTACTCCTTCCCGCCGGCGCTGTCATAAATGTCCTGCGACCGACCCCTAAAAACGGCTCAAGAGCTCCCACCTAGCTGCTGCGTCGTACGGCCCTGGGTAAAATCCAAGCTTCCCAGTACAACCAATCCTATTTGTCATTTAAGATGTCGTACAGGTGCAACAAGATTGCTGGAAGGAGGACGATGAAGGGAAAGGAAGGGGAAGGAATAAAAACCCCAAACCCTAGCCGTATGGCACGCGCACAATCAGCTGCATGTGTACGGCAGACCCTCAAACGCCCGGCACGACGCCCGCTATCATCCTCAGCTAGCTATCCAGTTACTAGTTCCCCCCCACCCCCCGCGGCTGCCCGCCACCCCGTCAGGTGCGACCCAGTATATAGGGAAATATACACAGCAAAGGCGCACATATAAACAGGCAACATCTGATCAAATGCTTCAGCTCACCACAGATGGCTTGAGTCTCTCAAAATCTATCCCGTACGGCACACAGCAAAACCATGCCACCAGGGTATCGTATATTCCTGCAACCGGAGAACCGTCCGTTGTCCCCTCTGTCTCCCCCCCTCTCTTACATGGGGAGCAATAGATCCTCCCAAAGTACCGAACGCTGGACGGGGTCCTGGGGTTTCCTTATTAAACACAGACATGTGCAGGTGCTGGCGGCGGCGGCGGGTGGTTCAGCCGCTACCTAGAAGAGCCCGGTGTGGCGCCCGTGGGGCAGCAGGTCTGTGCGCCGTCATAGAGCGCGTAGGTGCAGCTGCCGGAGCTCTCCCCCAGTCGGCAAAACCTGCCCAGGGTGTCGCAGGGTCCGTCCTTACGCAGCTCAATGCAGAGCTGCTTGGGTCGGGAGGCCACCTCATCCCGCGAGTAGTTGAGCTTGGTCAGTCGGAATGTGCCACCCTGGTCCCAGGTGACCTGCGTGGGCGTGTGTGTATGTGTGTGTAGCGAGGGGCGAGGGGGAGAAGAGCATGACACCGGGGAGGGCAGGGAGCGGACCTAAACACAGCACGGTGGGGCACAGGGGTATGGAAGTTTGAAATGGGGGGGTGAAGATTTCGACATCATGAACAAAACACGAGAGGCGTCCTACCCCCCCCCCTTCCCCTCAGTCCCCACATCCCTTCCATCCTAGCTCGGAACACCTCCGGTTCTGCATACATATATACATATGTACGTACCGGGTACGACACCTTGTCGACGTAGGCCCTGACACTGCCTCGGCATGTGTCATAGCTCCACCAGTCAACTCGAAGCAGATTGGACGAGCAACAGGAAGACGAGGGGTCGGCGCAGGTGGAGGACTCCAGTGAAAAGCAGTACACATTACCACCAGAAATTGTACGACTGAGTACGGGTGCAGCTAGGCGAAAGGGCATCAGGCCGCTGGTTTGGTTGCAGTTGCTGAGGGGCATCAGAGGGCGTAAAGGGAGGGCGCGAGGGCCCGAGGTAAGGCGGCGGAGATTAGGGGGGGTCTTGAGGAACCTCACGAGCTGCGGGGAGGGGTGTGAGGGCTGCGGTCTGAACGGTGTGAGGGCTGCGGATAAGTGCAGAATTTAGGCCAGCAGTGTTGGCAGTGGGCTCAATATGGCTTTCAGCTCGCGGCGTCATAACAACCAAGTTAAGCCGGCTTTGGACAGCTCTTAACGACGGCTACACCCCAAATCCGCGAACCTCAAGCTCAACATGCTTAGCAATGCAGCGGAGCTCGGTTAGTGGTTAGCTGCAGAGGGAGATGAAGCACAAAAGTGGAAATTGTGCGGAGGAAAATCCCATGTTTCTCACCTGGTGTACGGAAAGGTTCCCGTGTACGGCGCCGGACGCCGGGACTGAGCAGAGCTGCTGCTGCTGGCGCTGCTGCTGCCGGTGATGGCAGCGGCGGCCCTGACATGCGCCTTGGGCGGTGGGGGCGGTGGCGGGGGAGGGATGCTGACGCCGGGAATGAGCGGTACGGCGGGGGGCGGCGGCGGCGGCAGACTCAGCTTGTTGACCGGGCAGCACTTGTGCGGAATGGCCGACTGACCGACTGCATAGGTGCAGCTGCCGTCACCCTCCGGGCAGAGAGCCGCCATGTTGGGACATGGATCCCGAAGCGTGATGCAAATCTTGGCGCCGGTGGCATTAGTGGTGGTCAGGTTGAGGCGGGGCAGCTTGAAAAGGGCCATGTCACGGGCGAGGCCGTACACCTCGAAGGTGGGGGTGGGCGCGGGAAGGCCGTTCACGGTTACAGATCGTATGGCCCGGCGGCAAGTAGGCCGAACCCGGATTTCCAGTTTGTAAAAGTCGGCCTGGCTGCAGCAGGGCTCCTCCGCGGGGCAGCGCTGAACGGGGGCGACGGTGAAGCAAATGCGCTGTCCATTGGCCGAGGGGGAGGTGGTGTACAAGGGCTCCAGCTTAAAGGGGCTCAGGCTGGCGTCTGTTTGGCAGGGGTAGTTGGGGAAGACGTTGCCAAAGGACGGCTGGAAGAGGGTCCTGCGGGTGGAGCCGGGAAATGGGTTGATGGTGGGCGGATGATTGGTTGGACGATTGCGTGGAAGTTTGGATGTTGGGGTGTCAGATGCTGAACAAGTAAGCTGTCGATAGCAAGCGTAGGAGCGGTCGCGTGGATTAAGGGTGGTCCATGGAAATGGCTACGGATGGCCAAAACAGTGAAACGCCTTCTCGGCTTAAGTTGCATTCTCTCATTCATTAATGAATCAATGGGTTATGCTTCTAAAAGGCAATATTCATGTTCTACACATGATCGCAGGTTAACCTAGATGAAACGGCCCTGGTTTAACGGAAAGCGACATTCAAGGTTATAAAACTTGATGATCAGCCACGCATTCGCAGATATGAATCAACATAATTTCTCGAGTGTGGCTCTCCTGCTTGTCCCTTACTAAGTGACATATAGTACCCACCGCCGGCCGTCCACGACATTCCCGATGAAGAAGCAAATGCATAGAAGCGGGAGGATTGTGAAGCTCCGCATGATTATTTCTAGATTAATGAATCTGTGAGAAATTCGTGTGAAACGGTGACGGAGGCCGGGTAACTGTCAGCTGCGACAGGGCAGCTTTGTGACTGTCTAAACCAATGAGGCTGGCCCAGGCCCAAAAACCTATCTATGCATCAAGTTGAAATATAGCTGATAGGGGGATATTTCTGACACCCTACCGCTATGAGAGTGGGAGAAAGATGAGCAGTGCACAGAGCTCGTGGTGTATCAAGCTGAGACTACTCAATCCCTAAATATGTGCTACTGTAATTATGATATTGAAATTGCTTCCTTCTGGCCGGCGTTGCCCGATAAAGTTGATAACGTGTAACGAGCGCCAAAGGCTAGGCGGCACAGCCCAAGGAGGGATGTAGGAACCTCCTGGCACTGACTTGGTGACAAGCTGCCAGGAGATACTCTTGGCTTTAGACCCTTTTCGGAGGACGATCCGTAGCGGTCCGTTATTCCGTTGTCGCGCTACTGCAGCCCGCCGCTTCATGTTGTACCTTCACACTGCTATGAGGTAATAACGCCAAAACCATGTAGAAATTACTGTCAAACATGTAGAATCTTATGTTTTGACGTGTGAAGATATCCTTGCGAAAACATAATTACAACGGATTATCCGAACTGACATCGGAGATCGTATGTTAAACTTGTCGGTTTATGTATTTTTATGTATATACATAAGTGTGGTCACGATGTTTGCATCTCATGCCCGCCGTTGATCGTAACGATTATGGAAGCGAGTAATGCAATCCGGGAAAACTGCGATCGCCCTAACAACCAGTCAAATAGCGGCTAAAACTTCTTGAGCTGAGCCATGCCAGGTGTTGAACGTAGGTCAACGCCCGCAGGGGTCAAACTCACTTGCATACATCGACAAATTATGCAATGTCTATGTTCCTGGCAGACCAGATGCAAAGGTTGTTACGTTAATGATGGCGGCACTTGGCTTGTTACGTTAATGATGGCGGCACCACCAGCTGAATGGCGTGGGGCGCCCTGTTCATCGCCCCCGCCCTAACCGCGCACACGAACCCCTCCCCCCTTCGCAACCTGCGCTAATCCTTAGAACATCCTCATAGAAAACACCGTCACCTCGTTGCTTTGCACTTGTTGGGTATGATTGTATGATTATGATGAGCGGCATCCCCCAGGGGCCCTATCGCAACACGAGAACCGACATGAGCACGCACCGGCGCCCCCCATCACCAAGCACAGCGGCAAAAGCATGAGCCGAGCGAGACCTCCGAAGCTCAGTGCGAGAGAGAGAGGAACTGGGAGTGTACGGACCGTACGGGGAGCTGACTGGCTCGACCGCGCTTCACTGTCCCCTTTGGCTCACTGTTGCATACGTCATCCTACAAGCCACCGGAGAGAGAGTGATGCCACCACGGACTAGCTGTGTTGAGATCTGCGGCTGCCGGGGGCCCCCCGGGGCCGACCCCCTACCCCCCGCGGACGAGTAAAACATCTCCTCCGTTTATCGAACCCCTCAATTCGACTGACGGATTTTTTCGTCCTTTCTTGGTCATAACACTGCTCTAGGTCCGGAAGCCCTCTCACCCGCCATCACCGCCACCGCCACCACGCGAGGACGATGAGCCCAACACCCGACTAGGGACTACCATAAACACTGCTGCTGCTGCCGACGTTCCGTCAGTCAGTTAATTAGTTGGTTGGTAGCGTAGGGTAACGGCTACACAGTACTATAGTTAAGGGATTACGAAAGCATGATAACGACTAGGAAATTCTTCCGACCGAGTCTCCCAACCTGAGCTTCCCCCGCTTCTCCTCCTCCTAAGGGGGACCCCATTACTGCTCCAGGGGAGCCCCTACCCCCCAAGGCCCCTCAGAAACGGTTGTACTACAACTGCTTTAACAATACTGCTTTACTATTACAGTTCTGTACTTCATGTACGTCAGTTCTCACTCTCATCTCCAGGTAAATACACAGCATCATTTTCCTGCCGTGTCATGTCAGATCATTCCGCGAACCTCAGCGACAACAAAAACTCGTTGTGTCACGTGTGGCATTACGAAATGCGCCATTCACCGCCCACAGGACCAGATACGGAGGAGGGAGGAAGGACGTGGGGGCCAACCCCCCACCCTAGGGGGGTTCTTTCTTTTGATGTTGCGGTTCTAGGAGGTTTTGTTCCTTTCTGCGGCTCAGCGATTAAGGAGCCTCAGCCCCGGGAAATCAATACTCGGCTTGTATGATGTTGTTACAGGGGGTTAAGCTTCACCATCGGCCCCCTTTCCCGAGGCAGTCCCTGCTCTCCTCTGCGAGAGGGGCACCCTAATCCATTCACCCCATCCGATTTCAGAATGTATTCGTTGGGTTCAGCAACTCACCAGCAGCATCCAACCAAATCTAGCGGATCAACGACGCCTCAACTTAGTTCCTGGTCCGCTCGCAAGTAATGTACGGCAGCTAAGGCATCGCAGCGGGGGCCCCCATTCCCCCCCCTCCGTCGCAACGTTGACACCGGGGTCAACATTACACATCAGCCACACGGCCCCCGCAGACGCCCCATGTGTAGCCACTCAGAAACTGGGGCGACGTTACATACATACGTACATACGTGCAGTCTCAAGGTTTTCCTCTCCCCTCCAATCCAGCAACACTCCCGAGCACACTCGGGTGATACCGACCCCATGCGGCACCTACAACACCCCCGGCCCCCATGCCCCCACAGCGAGGGAGACGCATCCAGACACACACACACACACACACACACACGCGCGCAGGTACCTTGGCAATCTATAGTAGCCATGGCCTCACGTGTTGTACGACAATATCTCCCCGCTGCACTCTCTTCACCTCATACACACACACCTCACAAACGCCATCGGCAACCCCGTGATCCCGACTTAGGGCTCCCCGGCTCCGACCACCCCCACCCCCACCCCCACCCCGCCCTTGGCTCTGGCTCTGGCTCTGCCGGACAGGACTGTGGCCCCCCGTCCACCTCCTCTCCCTCCCTTTCCCCCCACAGCCCTTAGCCTGAAGCTGCGCCCCCTCCTCTCCCCCCTCCCCCCCCCCTCCTCCCCCGCCCCCTCCTCGTCCCCCTCCCGCCCCGCCCCTCCCCGGGTAGCGGCGGCGCGGAGCGCCCCTTGCGTCGCCCCCTTGGCCCCAAGCCGCTGCCGCCGCTGCCGCCGCTGCCGCCGCTGCCGCCGCTACTGCTGCTACTGCTGCTGCTACTGCTGCTACTGCTGCTACTGCTGCTACTGCTACTATCACTGCTGCTGCCAGTGTCGAGGCCTGCGCCTGCTTGGGAGCTCTGCTGCCGGCAGCGGCGGGGCCGCTCAGACCCCCACCGGGTAGTGCTACCCCCTCCACCTTCCGGGTGCTGCTGCTGCGGCGGCGGCGGCGGCGGCTGTAGTTGCGGGTGGTTGCCTTCAGCAAGTCCGGGACCTCGCAGCCGTTTACGGCCCGGATAAACTCCACCACCGCGATCATCATTGCTGCTCCTTTTCCTCCGCCTGCTGCTGCTACGACCTGCAACTACTGCTACTGCAGCTACTGCCTGCTCAGCCTCCGCCTCTTTGCCCTCCGTGCCCGGCTCCTGCTGCGGCTGCAGATCCCCCTCCTGCTCCTCCTCCTCCTGCTCCTCCCCCTCCTCCTCTGACTCCGGGCGATCAGATTCCTCCGAGGTTTCCTGAAGGACCCCCGCCTCCTCCTCCTCCTCCGCCCCCTCGCAGGCATCCGGCCCCTCCACACGCCCCCCGACCCGACCTCTTCTTCCACCCGCCACATGACACCTCAGCCGCCTTCGACCCTCCGCACGACCTTCGACCGGCTGTCGCCTGGCGCGATGCCGCCGGGGGGAGATATCGCCGCCGTCGTCACTCTGGCCGCCGCTACTGCCCTCACCCCCACTGCCTAGGCCATCGCTACTGCTCGGCCCCCCGCCCCCACTGGCCCCGTACCGGGGGGGCCG